TTTGCAATTCGTATTTTTTATTTTCCCTCTCTTTAGCTGTCAATTGTGCCGGTCATCAATAATCTAGCTGAGAACTTGTTAGTCATCATTAATCTCACAGAAGTTGCAAGCTTGCTGATAATGATCTTGTAACGATGGATGTTGATTTGCATCGAAACGATAAGTTGTTCTAACTTATCAGATACAAGGCGCACAAGACTACGTGAGGTTTAAAAACATTATTCAAATTTTTAGGTCTCGTTCATTTCACCGATTCGAGTTTTGCTATAATAAAAAGTTCTCAAAAACAGTCACATCTAATTTTTTTTATTATAGAAAGCTCTCACATAAAGTCAAATATCAACTTGAATTTAAAACTTGAATCAGCGAACTAAACGGACCCGTGAAAGTTCGAGTCACCTAGCTTGGGCTAGCGGTCCGAATGGAAATTCTGGGCCAACTAGCCCAACCCTAAAGAGGAAAAGATCAGCTTAATCCGACTTCAAATTTTATAAGGTATTTTAAAAAAAAAAACGAACTTGAAAAGGGGTGTATGGCCGACCCAAATGAGCTTTTGAGCTCGAAACTTCAGCTTAGCTCATTCTAAAGGTTGGGGCTGGGCTGAATCTTGGTCAATAGTGACAGATCTTGGGTCGACCTATTTAACTTTGCCTAAACTTGCAGCTCTAATTGACTCCTAAGAACTCAACTCACCTTTTTAAAAATTTGTCTATTCATTAAAAGTTTTCTCATGCATGTTCCCCCTGATTATCCAACTCAAACTTCGTTATTTTAATGTCATCTTACAAATTCTTCTATTTTCTCAACTTTTACAGGTTTATATACTTTCTAAAATTGATTAATTAGTCTCAACGAGTACCTGTTCAAATATGTATTTATATGTTTTTAAGTTCACGCATTTACATCTCTATGAGTTATGAAATACACGTGTGCATGGCTGGTATAAATTGGGGTACTAAATTTTATCACTAGCAAATATGAATGAATAATCCCATGGAAGATATAAAAAATGGAAATTTTAACCTAGTGTACTTTTTCATACCAGTATTAAATGTTGTTTTAAACGTGAGATTTAACTTTTTAAACTTTGATCTATGATGCAAAACAATTCTATAAAATATATGAAATAGAAAGAGAAACGTGACTAGCAGAGTTTATTAGAACACAAACCAGGAAAACGGTTCTCGGTCTGGGGATGATATTCTTCATTAACAGGTCCGTCGCCCAGCCGCCGGCGGGTGTCGGTAACTACTCCGATGGCTCCTTGTTTCCAATCCATCTTTATTCCTTGTTTGGCCTTTTTTTTTTCTCTCTCTCTCTTTTCCTTTTTTGTTTATTTTTCTAGAGGCTCTTTATTTGCTTTTGTCTGGGTGATCTAATTTCTTATGCGATTGAATTAAACGTTGATTATCTTCCCCAACTATATCAAAGTTAGATACTTTTTTTTTTGATAATTAAATAGCTTTATTTTTCTATGCTTTCTTCTCCTTATGAATAAGATATATTCCTTTTCTGGTAGCTTCAGTCTTGGAATCTATTTTCTGTGTCCTGGGTTGTCTTTTATTTATTTATTTATTTATCTGGTATGATGGTAATTTCTTCAGCATGAATTACAGGGACTTTCAATATAAGTTCTTTGTTTGGCCATTAAATTTTGTTAATTTAAGTTTCCAGGTTGCAATGAGCTGAAAATTTTTTCTTTATTCACTTGGACTTCCAACTTGGCAAGAAAGGTTAGCTTGCACATCAAGTATCAATACTTGAAAAGAAACAAAAAAAAAAAATTGGTAGGAAAAAATATCTGCATTTAACAAATTGGATTGTAAAAAAAAAAAAAAAAAAAAACGAAAGATAGAATAAAGAAGAAATAACTGTAAATGTTTATTTATTTATTTATTTATTTATTTGTTTTTGTTTTATAGTTTGTTGTGAACTCTCGAAATTAGACATGCGGTTAAATTTCACCATTAACAATATATGATTCAGTTCATAGTTGTATAAGCTTACAGCAGGATCGGAGCAACAAATTTTTTATGGAGAGGTTTGAATGAATCAAAATTTTGAACTAAAGTTATTGTGTAATAAATTAATACTACGAAAAATGATAGTATTAGGTGGAAGACTTTATCAAAGAGAAAAAAATAGAGAAATACAAAAATGCCACTCAAAATAATTTTGCAGGATATTTTTCTACCAGTTTTTTTTTTTTTTTTTCTCCACAATAAAGATGACCGCACATTTTAAAGTGAATTTGTTCGTATGCAAAGTAAATCCTTAAAGTGGAGAAAAGAAAGAAAGAAAAGTAGATTTTGTAATAATAAATTGCTCTGTTGCACCACAAACTCTTGGTTGAGTTTGAAACTTGTTTTAAAATAATTTTATTTTTTATATAAAAATAGAAATAAAAATATTTTTAATCTCAGATAGAAATCATTTTTAAAAATGTGTTTGGTAGTTTTATTAAGAGATTATTTTTAGTATAAAAAAATCAATTAATGTCTCTCTCTCTCTGTGCTCGAGAGAGGAGAAAACAGAAACAAAAAATGAAAAACGACTAAAAGTCATTTTTCATTTCTCTTCTATTTTACACTAAACTAAAAAATTGTTTTCATTTTTATTTTTTGTCTTTAATTGTGCAAAACGCCGTTTCTCTCCCGTTTTCATTTTTTCTTTCTTGAAAAACATGAAAAATAAAAATAAAACATACTTCAAACATTTACTGCATAATGGTTCTTGAACTTTCAATTTTGACAAATGCACTCTGAATTTTAAAATAGGTTACAATTTCAAGTCCAATAGTTGATTACATTATCAAATTGATAGCTCGATTATCAAATTATTTGAAACACTAAATTTGCACATGATACGGTTTGAAAAATGATGCTCTTCAACTTTTATAAGTGAATCTCGTGTTTTAAATCATCAATTTAATAACATTTGCAGCTATTATATTTCAACTGCAACTGACTTTAAAGCATAAGATGTATTTTATCAAAATTAAAAGTTTAAAATTTAATGTGCAAAAAAGAAAAAAAAAACGAATAATTTATATCGTAACATTGCAATTAACTCGACCTGTAATTATATTATATATGCATTCATGCAGTCCTCACCCCTTTCCGTCCAAATGAGGAAAGACCAAAATTTGGTAGGACCCCAAGGGGCTCCTTTCCTCTACTTTCAGCAATCCATCGTACCAAACATTGAATTTGTGCTTTTCTTACTCAACTTTCCGCCCATTCTTTTCCTTCTCCTTCTTTGCTCTAATATCTCGTACCAAACAAATTCTTAATAATTTCAACCGTCTTATTATTATTCGGAATTATAAGTTGTAAGTTCCCCCACTTGAATAGAAGAAACAAAAATATAGAGTCAAAATATATAAACTATTAATAATTTTTTATTATTAATAATTAAATATATATTAAAAACTACATATTAACATATTTTATTAATTTAATGTAATTTTAATTTAATTTAACAGTTAAAAATTTACAATATTAATAAGACTGATCTATAAAAAAAAAAGAATCATATTATAAGACGCATCACTTATTAATAAAAAATAAATTACACCAATTGTGCTTTTAAGTATAATAATAAAAAAAATAAAAAACTTTGGCAAACTGAACGGTGAGAAGCTGAACCAACCACCATTACACGCCACGTAACCACGTTTAGTCACATTTTTTCCACGTCTCACTCTTAACTCCTCAAAAGAGTCCAAACACCCAAAAAGCGCAAAAAAACAGAAACCGTATTTAACTGTTTACTTTTTTAAAAAACTTTGTTACTTTTTTTTTGCGCTACAACTGGCAGTTACTTTACTAGTTTACTTACACAACCAATGCTCGCTCTTTTCTTTTCAGATAAGTTTAACAGATACATTTTAAAAATACATGAATCAAAATTTTTATCTTTTAATTTTAATTAATAATTTTTAATTAAATAATTATATTAATAAAAATATATTTATTAAAATAAAAAATAAAATTTAGACTCATATACTATTAAAAATATATTTTCTATGTTTCTTTCTTCTTCTTCATAGGTAATTAATACAAATAATCTCTAATCTCTCTATTATGTGGCAGCTTGATCTGTATTTTTTTTTTAATTTTAACAAAATAATCTCAATCTCTTTAAACTAGTACAATTAATACCTTTCCCCAAGATCCGTTTAAATATTAATAAAAAAAGACACAAAAGAATAAAAATTAAAGACTTGTTCATTTGAACCCAAATTTTAAAAAAATTTAAACTCAAATTATAATTTTATTTAAGTGCACGTTCCTTTGTAAAATTTGAGTTTAAACTTGAGTTTAAACATAAATTTTAATTTGAGTTTAGGATTAAAATCTGAGTTCAAGTATTCACTTCAACTCAAGTTTCTAAACTCAAACTCAAATTAATGAATAATATTTTTTCTATTCTTAAAAACGCTATAATTTTTTCGTTTTAATTCCAATTGAGATGATTCTTTTTTTATGCGTTATAACGAAGAGACGAATAAAACATCACCCATATACCTTATTAAAATTTTTCATCATCATTGAGTTTTTATTAAAATACTATCTAAATACAAACTCAAATTTTGACCCATCTAAATACAAACTCAAAAAGATTCTCATATCAACAAAACTCAAAAAGATTCTCATATCAAGGTTGTTCTTTTACAAAAAAACTCAGAAAAAATTGAAACTCAAGTTACAACTTTATTCAAGTTCACGCTCTTTTAAGTTCCAACTTTATTCGATTTTACTCAATTTTATTCAAGTTACAACTTCAACTCAAGTTATAAAAATTCAACTCAAAAACTATACTGAAATCACACTCTAAAAAAACATGCATACAAACTCAAATTATAATTTAAATCTAAATTATAACTCAAATTTAACTTAAAATCTACACTCAAATTATAACTAAAAAATGTAACTCAAGAAGCTCTAAATGCAACTTAAGAGGTTGGGAACAACCGGTTACCCTTTTCTCCACTCAAGCTCACGACTCTCAAGCAAAGCAAAGCCGACATTTCTCGCGAATCAGAGAAAGGAGAAAGAAAAAAAAAAGAACGAAAAAGAAAAAACTAGAAAGCATATTACTGATTCTCTAATGATCGACCCATTTTTCCTTACACTTTCCATTTTCTTTTCTTGAATAATGCTCTTCAATGTAAGGCATCTGCTTTCTCTTATAGTTGTTTGCTTTTTTTTTTTTTTTTTTTTTTTTTTTTTTTTTTTTTTTTTTGCATTTTCCTTTCTGGTTGGTTGCACAGCAAAATGCATAAAAGGAAACAACTTGATGGGAAAAGTTTGAATCCTTGATTTGTTTCTTTTATGTTGTTAAATTTTCAGTTGTTTTCTTGCTTTTCTTTTCTTTCTCAATTTGCTGATGAACACAAAATATGAATAAGTGAACTAAACTGGGCGGCTCCATTAGTATTCAATTGAAGCATCTACTGCTTTCTTTACCACTTTCTTCTGATTTTGTATGTTTTCTCAGTATCCAAACAAAAAGAATCGAGTGTAGAAGTGATCTCATTCTGAAGTTTTTTCTGGGTCATTGCCATATTAGAAGAAAAGGTTGTTTGAAGGTGAGTGATAATGACTAGGTTTTCAGTGCTGGCATTGGTGGCCCTAGTGTGGGTGTCATGGTGGGCAGCTATGGCTGAAGAAATAGAGTACATGAAGTACAAAGATCCGAAACAGCCGGTGGCGGTTCGGGTTCGGGACCTTCTTAGCAGAATGACTCTTGAAGAGAAGATTGGCCAGATGACACAGATTGACAAGAGTGTTGCCAATGTCTTGACATTGAGAACTTACTCCATTGGTAATTTTTAATGTTCGTGCCTCTATTGGCTTAATTTTCTGTGCATTGCTTGGTTTGTGATTGTGTATGTTTCTATGTGATTTTGAAGAAATATTTATTTATTTATTTATTTATTTGTGGGTGTAACATCCATTTTATTGCAAATGATTCAGTTTGAAGTTTTGTGTGAAATGCGGGTTCTTTCTATACCTGCAAAGCTTTTTACCTTTTTTTTAAGTAAAGACTTTTTGGAATAAATCATTCACCTTATAATAATGTTGTGTACTTTGGCCCCATCTTTCTTAAATTCTCCAATGTATGTCACTAAATTGTTCTGTTTTCTTTTCATTGATCTTATCCATTTAAAGTCTAATAAAGAGATATCACTCCTCTATTTTTGCCTTTAAATATCTGAATCCATTTCACATTCTGCGACTATGTTACTTTTTATGACATGAACCCAAAGTCAAAACGGTTTTTGGGGCGTAATGTATGTTTTACTCTGATTTATTTTCTTCTCCATACCATTCATTTGAGCGAAGCACATGAAAGGGTACTAGAAAAAGGAAATACGGTTATGGCGAGGAAAATAAATCAGAGTAATAGACATTCACATTTACTAGCTACGCAGGACGAGAAGTAACCGTCTTCACTTCTTTAAAAAGTAAGAGATTAAAAATTGGCAAAGTCATGGCATTGAATCAGTGAAATACAAGATGGAGTTTGGATTTTGCAGGGAGTGTATTGAGTGGTGGAGGCAGTGCACCGCTCCCTGATGCTAGTGCTGAGGACTGGATTAACATGATAAACGAATTTCAGAAGGGGGCTCTCTCTAGTCGTTTGGGTATACCGATGATTTATGGCATTGATGCTGTGCACGGGCACAATAATGTTTATAATGCTACAATATTTCCGCACAACATTGGGCTCGGAGCTACGAGGTAAGTAGAAATTGATCTAAATTCATTGTTAGAGTCGTTTATACTTGACAAATCTTTCCCAAAATAATGTGTTCTCCAACATAAATAATTCTGATTACATCTCTTTTCACTGGGTCTATGAAACGCTCTAATTTCCATAGAAAATACTGACAAGAGTTTTGTTCTCATAAGCACTATCCAACAGAAAATTTCAACGGGGTTTTTCTATTAACTGCTTCTTTAGTGCAAAAGTTTCAGCTAGTTCTGACTGTTGAGGTACTTTTATCATCTTGCCTATTCAGGGATCCTGACCTGGCTCGGAGGATTGGTGTTGCTACTGCTCTTGAAGTCAGAGCTACAGGCATTCCGTATGTCTTTGCTCCGTGCATTGCGGTAACCTATATTCGAACTTTGTTTCTGTACTTCCTACAGTTATGCCAAGCCTTCCTTACACCTGAAACCTTCTATGTAGGTCTGTAGAGATCCAAGATGGGGTCGGTGTTACGAAAGCTACAGTGAGGATCACAAAATTGTGCAAGAAATGACAGAGATCATTCCGGGTTTACAGGGAGATATTCCTGCTAACTCTCGAAAAGGAGTTCCATATGTTGGTGGAAAGTATGATTCCCCATGCAAGATAAAGATCACTTCTTTTGCTGCTTCTTTCCTTTTCTGTTTTGCTACTGTGTTATCGTGTTTACAATTGTTTTTGTGTTTGTTTTTCTCATTTTCTTCTATAGAAAACCAAAAACATACTTACTTACCACTGATGTTTATGCAATTATGGCTCTTATTGCTTTATTTGTTCTGTTCTTTTAGCTGCACATCATATACATTCTGCTAATTTTACTCTAATGATTCTTAGTTTTTAAACTCTTTTTATCTACAGGACTAAGGTCGCTGCTTGCGCAAAGCACTTCGTAGGTGACGGTGGGACAGTGAAGGGCATCAATGAAAACAATACTTTACTCGACATGCATGGCTTGCTTAGCATCCACATGCCTGCATATTCTGATGCAATTATTAAGGGTGTCTCAACGGTCATGGCTTCCTACTCCAGCTGGAATGGAGAAAAGATGCACGCAAACCGTGAGTTGATCACTGGATTCCTCAAGGACACCCTTAAATTTAAGGTTATTGATTTTATATTTTACATGCTTATTGAGGTTATAGCATGGTAACTCGTAGATGATGTTGTGTCTTTCTATAAGGAGCAAAATTCAACAAAAAACGGAATTGCTAACCTGGCTGTTAACTTCCTACTGCTTTCAAACGAAGGTTTCTCGTGTAAAATAAAGTTAAATTTGATTTCAATTCTCGCTATCTTTATTGGCTACTACTATATCTTACCTAAAATCTTAAACGGACGTCTCTCATTTATCATGCTAAAATCTTATGGCTATGGCCCTTCTCAAGTATGATTGCTCCAGATATGCCCGAAACGCCTACACTCTTATGTTAAATTTTTTAATCAAGTTTCACTGCTTCTTTTTACCTTTAAATGATTTCATTTATTTCGCACTTACATGTAATATGGGAAAGTTCCACCTGGCATTTCCTTGTTGAATTCTGAAATCACATTTTCTTTTCCTAAGAATACTTGAGAATTCTCAGCCAAGGATCTTATATCAAAACAGACCAGGTCAACGTCAAGTCCCAGTCAGTATTACTTGATGAGAGATGTGAAACAACGATATTAAGATTCCAACTTTCGAACTTCTTTATTTTGTTTCTTATCATTATAAAGTAGGGGCTTCTTTGACTCTAATTGTATCTGGCCAGCATTGATTCTCATTTTCTCTTGCCAAACGGTTTGTCAAAACTCAGGGTTTTGTCATCTCAGATTGGGAAGGAATTGACAGGATTACTTCTCCACCACATTCAAACTACTCATATTCTGTCCAAGCTGCAGTTGAAGCAGGAATTGACATGGTTAGTGGCTAACATTGTTCTCAACTAGAAAATTGTTGTATGGAAGTCATGTTTCTGCTGCTCTTAACCAAATTTTTTAAAAACTTTGCTTCTGTTTTAATGTTTCAACAGGTTATGGTCCCTTTCAACTACAGTGAGTTCATCAATGACCTCACTAACTTGGTTAAGAACAACGTCATTCCAATTGATAGAATTAACGATGCTGTGGGGCGGATTTTACTCGTTAAGTTCACCTTGGGTCTTTTTGAGAACCCGCTGGCTGATTTTAGCTTAGTAAATGAGCTTGGAAGCCAGGTTAGTTTATCAGAAAACAACCATCACCATTTCAAATTTTCTAGCACCCATTCAATTTTATAACAGACCTTTTGATGGATTAAAAGGAAAGAAGGGAACTAAACTCATCAAAGTTCAACAGCGAAAATTTATGTAAAATATATCAACTTCTTTGCTATTCAATGTACTAAAAGGCTTTGGTTTTAGGAAAAATTGACTTTCATAGTTGAATGAATATATGCTACTCCATTAGGCACACAGAGACTTGGCAAGAGAGGCAGTTAGAAAATCACTTGTGCTTCTGAAGAATGGGAAAAACGAAACTACTCCGTTACTCCCCCTTTACAAGAAGGCTCACAAGATCCTGGTTGCTGGTAGTCATGCTAATAATTTGGGTTACCAGTGCGGTGGCTGGACAATTTCATGGGAAGGATTTAGTGGAAACAACAGTACAAGGGGTATTCTCCTTTTTTGTTCTCGTAATCCACATATAAGAGACTTGTATTCACACGGAACATTCCAAACACCACTTTCATAAGGAAGAATTTTCTTTTACTGTTAAAGGTTTTGGGACTTTAATCTGTGAGGCTCACAAGATCCTGGTTGCTCGTGACAAATAATAGGACTTGATGTGTGAGAACCTGTAGACTTTTTTGCTGTACTTGGTCATCACTAGCATTTCATAGTTTTGCATTCTTGAAGAAACAGTTACTATGTTACTTTGGGTGATTTAGATTTCTGTATGTCATATTTGAGATCCATTGCAAGTTCTTAAGCATTTGAGTACAAATATTATCTGCAGGAATACAATAGTTTTTATTCCATATTGTAGTTGTAGGGTCTTATCCTCAAAGTGTTGAATTTATGTCCAAATACCCTTTAATTATTCTAAGATTCTTGATTCCAAAAACTAGACTAGCAATGACGGTGATGGTAGCAATGACAGTGATGGACTTCCTTTCCATGATGTGCAGGAACTACAATCCTTGATGCGATTAAATCAACAGTTGATCCAAGCACAGAGACCGTCTACAATGAGAACCCTGATGCTGATTTTGTCAAGTCCAACAACTTTGCCTACGCAGTTATTGTTGTTGGCGAGCACACTTATGTTGAGACCCTTGGCGACAGCATCACACTAACAATGGAAGATCCCGGGCCTACTGTCATCAGCAATGTTTGTCAGAGTGTCAAGTGTGTGGTTGTCATCATTTCTGGCAGACCTATTGTGATTGAACCGTATCTTTCCCCCGTTGATGCCCTAGTGGCAGCATGGTTGCCGGGCACTGAAGGCCAAGGAATTGCTGATGTCCTTTTCGGGGACTATGGATTTACTGGGAAGCTGCCAATGACATGGTTTAGAACTGTAGATCAACTTCCAATGAATTATGGTGATCCGCACTATGATCCGCTCTTCACTCTGGGTTTTGGACTCAAAACTGAGTCAGTTACGGAGCTTGTAGCAAGGTAAGTTTCTATGAAAAAGTTTTTGATGTGTTTAGTTTCTACTATTTTCTTCCCACCCATTATTTGCTCTGATGGCAATTCCTTCGATTGAATTAGCAAAAACATAACTGCCCAAGGATGTGCTTGTTCAAACCCAAAGAAATTGATATTTGCAATCTTATTTAGCTGATAAAGTTAATAATCACCACTATTTTCTTCATTCTTGGTCACAACGTCATCACCTTCAGCACCATAATCATATTGTTTTCGTTATTATATATATAAAAAAAAAAATAAAAATAAAAATAAAAAACTAGTCAATGGCTTGGGGCAAATTCCTGGTGCCTTTTTTCCTTTTTTGGGGTACATTTTGTTTATGTTGCCTGAGTTTCAATGTCACTTTTGACTGGTAATATTCATGAAAGAGCTTGGTTTCTTGTAAAAGTACGTAGTAATTGGTTGATTGTGCTGTGTAGGTCAACCTCAGCTGGTTGTGCTGGAAGGCCATACGCTCTCCTGGTCATGTTTTCTCTAATTATCAGTTTATGCTTAAGAGGTATGTCTATATATTTATCAAAATATTTCATCTTGACGAATGGTTTTCTCTGTTTTTTTTTCCCCTGTTGCACCTTTTTTAACCTAAGTATACAGGAATTTCAAATTTTATATATAGAGCGTTGCTGTACGTTAAAAGCCATTTTCTTGAAAATGGTCGGTCAATAATCGATTGATATAAACTAAATATTTAACCAATTTCAATCAAGAATTTACCAATCGAGCCTTGATTTGGTGGCCGATCGCTGATTCTGATTGATCGGATTCGATTGACCAGCGCATTAGCCATTCTAATGGCCGGCCACCTAAATTCTCTTATTCTTTCATCGTGCACATTGTCTTCTTTGTTCACATAAAGTTGGCTTACTTTGGTTGTTTTAAGTGCAGGGTGATGAAGTTTTGAGCAGCAGCCTACAACTTAACAAGATTGGATTTTTGGAGGATTTTGTTGGTTGATTTATAGCTCTTAGTAGGCCACCTCCTTCCAAATTATTTTTCATTATTTATATATTTTTTAGTCCAATTGAATAGGATTAGCTTTATTAGCTCATCAACGTTCTGGGCTCATTGTATTAGGAGTACGACCAATGTTATTATGGTGACAAAAACCTTTTGAGCATTTATTATATCGAGGCCATTTATTTCTCTACCCATCACAATACAACATTATCATTGTTTCACAATTTCCCTTTTAGAAATTTTAGAAAATTATCTTTTACAGTGTGGTAATTATTTATCTCGTACGACCTTTCAGATCCTTAGCCGTGATTCGTGAACAAAGTAATTTTATAGAACTTAGGGTGCGTTTAGTTGCAGTGAAGAATGATAATGATAATAGAATAGAAAATAAAATTACTTTATTTGTTTAGTTGTAATTTTAAGAATATTATGAAATGAAACATGAATATTTTCATGTTGACAAAATTACTCTTGTATTATATATAACACTAATATTTTATATATTGATCATATAATATATAAAATATAATATAATATAATAAAATTATATAATTATGATATAAAATATAATAATATTAAAATGGTTAATATAATTATAAAATATTGTAAAGTATATTATAAGATTATATAATAAATAATAATATTTCAGTTATCATATAATAAAAAATTACAACTATATTATATTATACTATAATATAATATATATAGTTACAAGATAATATATAATTATTATATTTAATATAATACAATAAAACTATTATTATATAACACATGATATAGAATATAATAATATTCTTAAAATGGTTAATATAATCATAATATTATAAAACATTATTGTTTCTTATATAATATAATAATATGATATAATATAATATATATAGTTACAAGATAATATATAATTATTATATTTAATATAATACAATAAAACTATTATTATATAACACATGATATAGAATATAATAATATTCTTAAAATGGTTAATATAATTATAATATTATGAAATATATTATAAGATTATATAATAAATAATAATATTTCAGTTATCATATAATAAAAAATTACAACTATATTATATTATATTATAAGATATAATTACGTCATAATATATAATATATTATTATAGAATATTAAATACATATATTTTAATTTATAGCTATATTATAAATTATATTATTTTATATCATATTATTATAATTATATTATAATATTTTTAGTATATATTATATTATATTACATATTATAAGATATAACAAATATAATTTATTATCATTATATTATAATATTGAAGGGTAATTATGAAAAAAAAACAATGAAAAGAGTTTGGAATGTTTATTCCTCTCATGTAATGAAAAAATGATGATTCATCCAAAATGAATGAATGACTATTCCTTTTGAATGACTATTCTTTTCTTATAAATCCAACTAAACATCAGACGTAAGTTCTATTTCAATTTATTCATTTCCTTTCTACCCAACCAAACGCACCCTTACAAATGAAATTTGAATTGTAAATCCCTTTTCAAAGAGGCTTTGGATCAGCAATTGAGAGTGAAAAATGAAGTAACAATCGAATAGAATATGCTGCGATAACAAAGTCGTAGCATAAAAATGATTTGATAGATGTGAGGTCTTAAATTCGAGTTCCATATAGAAGTGCTTGAGATTATTTTTAAACTACCAGTTTGTTCTTCAATATCTCTTGGTAGGGGTTGAGATAACGAGATTTGACTTCTGATGCAAGTAACTATGGTTCAATGGCCACCTTTCTCAACTTGTGAGGAGGGCCCTTTCGGTCATGCCTAGAGGTAGTTACGGTTGCTCGGCTGCTATAGGGCCTAGAGGACCTCGATATCTCTTTAATTCATTTCCCTCTTTTGTTCCGGATCTCTCATCACCTTTGGGGGCTATTTTACTTGTGATTTTGTGGCGATTGGCGACACCCAAAAGAAGAGGACGGCACAAATATGATATCTTATATGATTTTGTACAATTTAATTAATCTTTAAACGTGTGTTTTGTAAGACTAAAAGAAAACTTCAAACTCTGTCACCCATTAGTGTTTCCTTCTTCCTTTCAGTTTTCCACATTTTGTTCTATCATACTACCAAAAGGAGAGGAATCTAATATCCTTGCTCATTAACTGTAAGTTTCGCTACTGAAAGATGGATATTCCTAAAACAGTCTCTCTTTTATTATAATATTATTATTTATGAATTTTGTTTTGAATCATCTGTATTCCAGTTTCATTATTGTTTTTTGACTTTTCGCATCTAAGAAGAATTTATTCACGAAAGGACACATTATTTTTGTCGACGTTCTTTGACCTCTACAAAAGAAAAGGTAGTACATATGAACAGGATAGCTTTTACAATGACTCAAAAAGTAACGTTTACAATCCAAGTCCATAAAAATCATATAATCATGTAATGAGGTACATACATGAGGGCAATTATAATTGTCATCTTGGTCATGATCTCAAGTAGTATAATCCTAGATGTGCAAGCGCAAATGAATCTTCCAAACGTTGATATGGCTACTCCGACAAAACTTCATTTCAGACAACAAAAAGAATGCAGATTAAAGGCACGTAATATTTGCAGAGAGAAATCAGATCCGACAAAATTTTTGCAATGTTACAAGGATAGTTACGGAAAATGCAAAGCAGAAAAGCTTAAAAAGCAATAAGGAAGTGAAGACCAAGACAAAAGGTATCGTAACCATACTCTCTTCTGTCGTCATGTACATTACAAACACATATAAATATATATATATATATATATATATATAGGCTTTTTTCTTACCGACAATAAGTTATGAAAACATAACATTATAATTATTAAACATAACACCGACGTTAGAAAAAAATAATACAATATTTAGATGATTAAACTTTTTTGTATTACTTCTCTCTAACGTTAATGTTACGTTCAATAATTATCATATTACGTTTTCATAATTAAGTATTACGACGGAAGTACCCCACTAGAGGGACTGAAAAAACCTATATATATATATATATATATATTACTCAATGTAATAGACACATATATATTTGATTTCATATATTCATTTAACAGTACTTTGTATATAACAGGAGGTCGTTTGAGTGATTTCATTAAGCCTTAAGGGGATATTATTTATAGTAACTTTAGACTCTGTGATACATACAATATAAACGTTAAGGGCACATAAGTCATGAGTTCTCGGAGGACATTCTCACTTATTGTAGTACCATATCATTTGCTTGAAACCTAGATAAGTAACCCTTATTTAATTTCATTAGTTATATACTTATAAGCTTATCTGAAAGATCTTATGATTTATATACTCGTACAAAATCTACCCAATATGACTGATGCCTCTTATAATTATGTTTTATTTATATCCTTCAAGCATGAAAATGTACGTGCATGCTATGAATTTATGAGAATACATCTTAAGTTGCATATTATTAGAATATTATATGGATTATGATATACATACTAATTGCAATAAATAGTCTATTTTATATAATAAAGAGTTTTTTGAAGTTGGACATTTCGTCATCAAAGATTCTAGTTAGATGTTAGGGCTTTACTGTGTTCCTTCTTTCTGAAGAACCATTTATCATTATGTCGTGAAGAATGTATTTCTAATTAAGAAAAGATATATTATATTCATAAAAATTCAGCTTTATCATTTCAGAAACTAATGGCAATAGTTTTTTAGCTAATTAAATCATCAAACTGAGAGTCTTAGGCCTTGTTTGGTTCAACAACTCAAATTGTTGATTTAGTTTGAGTTGTGGTGATTTTAATTGTGATTTGAACCGGTATTTAAATACGTAAATATATTGTAATTTGAATTGAGTATAAAATCCGAAATGCGTTTGGATAAAGCATTGAAAATTGTCATTAGAGTTTTATAACAAATCTTATAAAATCTCATTATAAATGACATTAAAAAATATGCATTATGGTTGGGCATTTGTTCCTCTCTTCATTATGCACAAAAAAAAAAAAAAAAAAAAAAATCATCTCAATCGAAATTTAAACAAAAAAGTTATGATATTTTTAAACTTGAAGTTAAAGAGAGAAAAAGTAGAATCGAGAATTGTTAGACTGTAGACAACAATGGATTGTTAGAATTTACGGGAGGGTGCATTCTAAAATCAAGAGTTTGATCTTTATTAATGATTCGAATTGTCATTATTTAGTTATCTACTAAATATCAATTTCAATCCTAAACTACCATTTGAATTGAATTGTTGGGTTAGAATACTAAGTGAAATTGGCAATCTTCATAAGCTAGAGAACTTGACTCCCATATTTAATAATCTTAATGGCTCCATTCCACCAACTATTTTCAACATTTCCACTTTGAGATGAATTATTCTGTCTTGAGTAATATTAAAGACACCAATTTTAATTTTAATTTTTGTGTACTAATTGATGTTGGATGTGAGTTGTCATTTTTTTATTACCAGATGCAATCTCTTATTATTAATTGACGTAATAATATTTTTAACACTTACTAACGTAAAAATGACAAATATGGTAGCCATATTTGCAGCAGCATCGCCGACGTTACTGATCCTCTCCCATCTTATGTGCTTCATTCATTTTGGTGTTTATAATAATCTTCAAAGTTCAAGCTGAACTAATTTTCTACGAATATAAACGTGACTTTTTATTAAATCATGGCCTTTCTTTTAACAAAATAGAAACGTGACTTTTTTTTTTTTTTTTTTTTTTTCCCTCTGCTGAAAAGTCGGTACCATTATTAATTTATAACATATGTAGAAATGAGTTTGTTGATGTATATTCACTTTTCTGCTAAAAGATGAATGTAAGATTCCGTTAGCTAGAACCTAATTTTCCTCAAGTACCTCCAAGTGGCTCCTCTATAAGAGTCATATAATCTAATAGAGTCAAGCCCTTCTGAATAAGATCATTCTCATTTTCTTTCCCCTATTTTCTTCACTACTTGGCTGTTTTTCATTAACAATAACAAAGAAATACAAAACAGTCACTAGTCTCCAACAAAATCAAAAAGTACAAGATATAGCTTCGGATGTATCTAGCAGTACTCAGTCAAATTGCATGCTACAAAAATAAGAACCCTGATATGAAGTAGGATGATAATATCAAATGAGAATGCAACAAAGTCGTTGCCCAAACGACATTGATTCCGCCACTAAAATCAACAGCAAGTCCCTTACGACTAGAAAGATAGGTAAAAAAAATAAGATGCCATTGAAGCTGCAAATAGAGTTGAAACATATTCACATGAATAGGTGGATGCTGACCTTGTTAGCAACCTAGAACAGCCAGGTATCAGGGTGCTTTACATCCGGGCCGTCCAACCATGTCTGATGCATATGTAACCACACCAACGCATTTGGTACATCAGCCTACAAAAAACTATGCAAGAAAACGTGACTATAATGATTACAAGATTCAGATACTTCTCTAGAACATACACGTAGCATTTCAAGGAGGAGCCAAGGACATGACATTTTATTGGATTGTGATCAATTTAACAATGTAGTTATACCTTTGAACTTATTAAGATTGTTGTCAAACAGCAATACCGCTCTGCCCCTGCAATAACAAGTTGAAAACTGATAAGTATAAATGAATATAAAAAAGAAGCTACAAGGACGTGTTTACACGCAAAGACAGAGAGAGAAAAGGGACGGATCATCATAAAATTAAAATTGATCCGCAAAGCAGCACGCTAAAATTTCACCGAATACCCAGATATTTTAAGTATCAAAATTCAGATGGCAATTAATAAAGAAGTGAAGAACAGATCAGTTGTCATGCCACAATGAAATTAAAAATGAAATAACGCGGCAGTTCGACAACTTTTTTCTGGAATTTGTTATTTGTGACACTGGAGATTTCAAGCATAATTTCTGTGCCGTCACTTTCAATTTATCAGGTAAGGCACTTCACTCTTTGATCAATCATGTTTGGTCCTCTCATTGTTTCCTCGTTCCTAGTGGCAGCACTAATTTTATCTTCATTCCAAGAACCAAACTACATTGAGGATTTTATTTGTATAACAAAAGTTACAACAAAAATCCCAAAGTGAAGTCTCACCGAATGATTCCCACTTATTGCACTTCACCAGCCATGAGCCTGAGCCAATTTGTGCTGACGATACTCGATCTACCCATACCTTGTATTGTTTTCCCTGCCTGTCCCCGTGTAGCCTTTCCATTGTGTCTATGCACTGGTGAATAGACCACTCAGTTCCCGATGGATGGATGAATGAACAGAGGGGGTACTTGCAAGAAAGAAATTCCAACATTCACCAAATAAGTTATTAAGCCATAACACAGAGTGTAGAAAACATGTTAGTTGTCAAGATTTACAAAATGGAAAACTTTGTAATAAGAACTAAATCACAGCATTTTTGGATAGCAAATTTGCTGACCCCTTTGAAGTTCTAAAAAAAAAAAAAAAAAAACAGGTAATCATAAGACTTATTCATGAAGTGTGGGAACAACAAATTCTACCTTGTAAAAGCAAGAGCCTAACATTATAACTTGAAAAGAGAGAGAATAAAGAACGAAAAGGAACATAAAAAAAATGCAGAACAATACTTCATAATTGAAAACCTCAAGCTGGCAAAATGACTTTCTTCTTAATATATATTTCTTTCATTTACAGAGAATAAACAAAGCATGATGGAACTATATTATTGAAAGGCGAAAAGTCAAAAGTATGAAGTAGAGAATTTTTATTTTATTTTATATTATATTCTTTATTTTTTTTCTTTTATTTTTACTTTTGTGCTCAAATGTTGTATATGGAAAAGGAAGTAAAATAATTGCTCTACGAAAGAGCTGAAATCCACCTAAAGAAACCCTGTCCTAGTTTCCTAACAAAAGGGACATACAAAACCTGATCAAAGCCGTATAAGTTTTAGTTCATAGCTCCATTCTATTCATTTTTCTATATATATATATAGAAAAATATATATAACATTTTTCAGCGCCATTCATTGTATTTAACATTTCACGTGACTGAGAATTTCTAAATCACCCTTATACAAATGTATAGTACAAGGGCATGCCAAAGGCTACTGATTGACGATTAAAAGGATTATGTTTTGTATTTTTTTTCCAGAAACAAAAAGATAAAACTTACAAACATTGATTTCAGTTTCTGCAAATAATGCTCAGACTTCTGCACTTGTGCACACCTCCATCTCTCGTAAAACAAATAAAAATTCACTACTTCATAAACAGGATTGACATTTTCTCCATTCCACTTTTGAAAGTCCATAATGTCTCTTGGAGATACATTTGGACCAAGACCAAACCTACCAATCGCTTCTATGATTCCCGCTGTGCATCTCTGAGTTGCATGAATTATTTTAGGATTGCTTTTCATGTTTTCTAAATGCCACTGCAAAAGTTCCTCCTGTGCATTACTGACCTGAAAATCAAGAAATGAGACAGCTCGATACCCGATAATACAATTTGAAATTACAACTTATGAAAAAAATATGTAATCAGTGAACTGAGAAAACAAAATGATGTAAGCATACAAACCATCACGCCATAGACTTCTGGAATGCTGAACAGTTCTGTGTCGTTGCCAGAGTCACCACAAACAAGAGTGTTGGCAGGTGGTTTTCCATCGGATTCAAGTTTCTTCAGCAGATATGCAAGGGCCTGCCCTTTTCCAGCACCTCGCGGTAAAACGTCCAAAGCAGTGCCACTGCTATAAATTATTTTTATATCTAACTGACCAAATATTGATCAAGATTAGGAAGACAAGTCACTCTAATTTAAAGGATATTTTTGAGCGATGAAACACAAATTAATGCAAGTGGGCTACCAAAGGAAATTGAAAAATATTCTAACCATGTCGTCTAGATGGACAAACCAAGTCTTACCCCTCTTTTCTCTAAACGCTCAGATAGAACATCTATTATTCTCTGCGCATTAACCTTTTCTACAAAAAAGCTAACCTTGGCAGGGCGTTGATCTATCTCTGCCTGCAATGATTCCACATAAGAATTGAAAATTATTAGCAAATATTGACCTTAAAATCTGAGCATAAAGACCACCATCCCAAAACTTCCTAAACATGTTAATTCAGACTGTTCTTTGTAGTTAAAACAATGGTCTGGAACTCATTCCAAAAGAAAATTATACCAATTTTACGTTTTCACAATTCCAACATCGTAGGAGAGATGTTCCCATCTCTCTCATAAGTAGCACTCATGCCCCCACATTTCAAAATTATATAGAAACTTGCAGGAGTAATGCTTGTAATGCCATGGCCAAAATTACAATTTTGTAAACACAATTGCACATAAATACTTGGAGAAAGCATTAAAGCTTGTTTCAAGAGCAGCTTTTCTGTCAAAAGTCGCCAAATACGACTTTTTCAAGAAAGCTCTTTTGAGAAGACTTTAAAACTTATTCCAAAGTTTCAATAAAACTTTATAAAACATCATTCTAATGTCTCTAACTTTATAAAACTTCCTCGAAAGCTATATAATTTTTATCGTTTCTTCTATCGACTAAATGCATATAAACAAAAGCAATGGCAGAAAAGGGTCATCCAATAAAAAATTAAAAATTGATTAAATGAAAACATTTTGTCACGACCATTTCAATGGAATCTTGCAATTAGGATCAGAAACTGACCTGGGGAATAAGCTCAGGAAATTTGGCGGTTTCTTCAACGACGATGTCTCTGTTCCACTTGCGACTCAGAATCTCTTCCCAACCAGCATCGACCAGCATTGCGTCGCCATAGGCAATCTCAGTGCCGACCGACATGACGGCGATATCGGGGGTCAAGAGGGGCTTCTCCTTCCTCAACTGTTTGTAAGAAGCCGGCGATCTTCCGGTTGAGAAAACCAGAAGAGAGTCGTGGCGGTAATGGGCTTCCCATAGAGCGTTGAACCGGAGAAGAGAGACGTCTTCTGGGTCTTCGTGGTCGACCTGAAAAACAAACAAAGCACCCATGAGAAGAAGAAAGAAGAAGAAAGGAAAAATGGAGAGATGTTACCATGGTGGAATCGAGATCTGAGACGATCATGAGACGTGCTGAGCCATTGAGACGGTCCATGCTACCATGAGAGTTTCTCTGTGATTCCCAAGAAAATGGGAAAAAAGCTCATGTATTAATCCCAGAAGCCAAGTGTTGGGGACAGCAGGGAATAATGCTTATGCTTTGCTTTGTACGGAATCATTTGATTGGGGGTCTTATTGTGGAGGGTAAGAAGGTAAATGCACATAGAAAAACCGTGAAGATAACAAAGGAGGAGAAATAAATAGGGAAGATAGTAACGCGTTAGGAAAATTCCTTTGTGATGTAGACAATTATTTAACGAGGTTTATGTGGTTTGATGGATATGGCGAATCGAGTTATTCGGAAGTAAAAATGATTATGTAATGAATTTTTACGTGAGAACGTGTAGTAAAAAATTAAATTTAAATTTTTATGAGAAAAAATATTGTAATAAAAAATTAAATTGTAGTTTGAATCGCGAATCTAATGCCGCAATGTATCTTGAACTTGGAATTCAATAGAAATGTGGATAATATGAAAGTGGAAAAGCAAAGCAAAGCAATTCGTCCTCACTTTAATTTCTAGCCACAAACGTGCATTGCCTAAGCCATTCTCAACTCGTGTAATAACGTTCGAAGCGTACCCCTTGAGTCTAACTAAATATCACAATTTTCCTTAGAGAAATAGTAAAAAATAGGCCAATATAAAAAGCTTAAGAAAGTATATAGACTAATTTTTAATTATAAAAATTAATAGGTCATAACTTGTCAAGTTATGGCTCATAACCAGATAAATTATGGACAAACTTATCAAGTTATGGTTCATAACCAGACAAGTTATGGACAATAACTTGTCAAGTTATGGTTCATAACCAGATAAGTTATGGACAATAACTTGTCAAGTTATGGTTCATAACCAGATAAGTTATGGACGAAAATAGTAATTTGGCCTATTGATTAACTTATATAAACTATTGGCCTATTAATTTTAATTCATCTCAAGTCTTAGCCTATTTCTCTCTTTCTCCCTTTTCCTTATAATCAAAATGTATTCTCTGCGTCTTCAAACTATTCCAAAATTATCTACTGAGTTATATAAACTCTTGAAGACTTTTAACAGGTTAAAATTTTTGAAATACCAAAAGCATCCTTAATAAGTCATTATGTACCTATTAGATAGGTTGAAATTTTGCATACACTCTCATATAAGAGGTGAATTTGTCTATTCAATGCATTTAAAATCCTAAAAAATTAGGAATTTGTAAAAAATCAAAATATTGCACGATATGCACATGACTATTTTATTTTAATTTTTTTGAAATTTATTTTCGATATTAGGATCAGGAATCAAGATTTTTTTGACTCCGTTCATTTCACCGATTTGAGTTTTGCTATAATAAAAAGCTCTCAGAAACAGTCACATCTAACTTTTTTGCTACAGTAAAAAGCTCTCACATAAAATCGCATCTCAACTCGAATTAAAAACTCGAATCAGCGAACTAAACGAGCCATTGTGTTTTGTTTTCGTGTTTGTGTAAATTATTTTTAAACTATTTTTGTTAAGGTCCAAATTATCATTTCTTGAAAACTTCTTAAAGCTATGGTGCTCGAAATCTTTTGTTTTAGAAATTAAAAAAAAAAACACACTAGTGGAAGGGAAAAAAAGAAAAAAGATTTAACAAAGCCATCATTAAAACATTTCAGTGCAGTAAAAAAAAAATTCGTGAAATCGAGTCATTTGAAGTCCCAACTTTTCACGATAATTGTTAATGTCGTGAAATTTGCCCGTAGAATGTCATGCAGTTGGTTTCTAAAATCCCGTCATTATAAGTCTTAAAAAACCGTATTAATTAGCCAAAATTATTTTGTTGCTCAAACAATAAATTACCTGATTATTCAGAAATCATAAAACTATCATCTTAATAACCATAACTCAAATCTAAATCCATAAACAAAATTTCTCAACAAAATATAACTAACCCAAATTCAAATAAAAAATCCATAACAAAGTTTCTCAACAAAATATAACTTAACACAAATCTAATTAACTAAACCATAAACATAACCCAAAAAAATCAAAGTCCAAACAGCGATTTCTCGAAAACCATGGTGAAAATTTCGTCATAATTTATTATGATTAATCTTTTAATTTGTAATAGTGACATGATTTTCTTTAAATACTGTTATCTTGTGACATCAATTTTTGGCCCTCTTTTTTCTACATCTAGAAAATATATGGAATGAGAGCCTTTACATTCTTTGGAAAATCCTCAAACTTTGAAAGGTACCATTGCCTAGTAGCAAAACTCCTTCCCACTAAGTAGAACATTGTGCCTAAAGCTACAGAAAATGAATGCAGCGTTTGAGAAATAAAAGAGAAGCCCACAAATTCTATGATCTCGAAAAGGTAATGCGGGCATATGACTTGGCCGAAGAGACCCCACTTTGGAATCTTATACTTTTCGTCACCTTTTTTTCTCAGTTGGGAAAGAAGATAATGGTGGTAGAAATTCCCAGTTATCCCTATCAGAAACATGAAAAGTCCAATGTATTTCAGGTCAATTTGAGGCTCTGCAAGCCCTTGTGAAAGGTGTTGAGCATATATCATGGTTGTTGTGGACGTTAAGTAACTCAGAGAGATGATAATTGCAGTTTTGAGAACCATATTGCCACTGTATTTGTGAACATATAGAACCTGCATATATGCATGGTCAATATAAAACAGGAGTTAATAGGATGAGTCTCTTTCTCACTCTGTATTCACTGATTGATATGCGAATTTTAATTTCTATTTAAATAATAATATATCATGTTTTTAGAGTTCATATGTCAAACAGTGAATATAAAGAGTGACAGAAAGAGCGACGTTAGCATTTCTCAGGCATGTTATCCACAAACTTCACCTTGAGAGAGAATGAACTTATTTTAACATTAATGTATGGTAAGAGTAATTGCAAATAGAAAAGGAGGGAAAGGCAAAATATCAAGGTGAAGAAAATAAAAAGAAATGTGTCAAGTTTTTCTTTTATACAAATAACAAATGAGGTGATATTTTGACATGCTATTTGTTGTTTCAAATATTTTTTCTTGCTTTTTTTTTTTCTTTTTCAATGTTGGGGGATTAGGAAATGGTAGGCTAGCTTCATGAATTTACAACCTCATTCCTTTCTAAATTTCTCTTTAACAAACAGTCCGAGATTCTCTTTTCTTCTTTAAAATCCCTCCCTTAAGTTTGATTCTCTCTCTTTTTCGCCCCACCAAACATTGGTCCATTTTCTATTGTAACGATGTTAGACGAGGTGCATGACAGGAAACTTAGACAAGATTTTTTTTTTTTTTTTTTTTTTTTTTTTAAAAAAGGGGGGGGTGATAGGAAAATTTGAAAAAAATTTTTTTTTTTTTTTTTTTTTTTTTATAAGAAAGGGTTTGGTGTTCAGAAAGAAAAGATATTAGAAAATCGCAATTTTCCAAAGATTTTTGTATGTTCATTTTTTTTTCTCTATCCCTTCATTTTCCTTCTTACCTACCAAACAAATTGTTAATTCAAATTGAACTATTTTCTTTAAAGAAAAAATATATCAATCCCAGTCCTGACTTGAAAGGAGCAATTATAGAACATAATAATCTATTACTTACACCAGAACCAAAAAAACAAAAACAAAAAAAAAACAAAAAAAAAACAAAAAACAAGAAAAAAAAAAAAAAAAAAAAAAACAAAAAAAAAAAAAAAAAAAAAAAAAAAAGACTAAAAACATAAGCAAGAAATTAGAATCTAACATCTAAAAAAATAAAAATTAAAAATTAACTCTCATACTCGTCACAAAAACATGCTTTAATTTCAACCATTTCCCACTTAATTATCTGCTTGTAAAATATTCTATATATATATATATATATATATATAAATGGTACCTCAAAAATCCTCTTGAAAAAGTGAAGGGCAAGGGCTGAATTGAGCAGCAGAAGTCTGAGATTATTCTCATGAGGAAAGACGAAGAACAACGCCGCGCTCGCAAGAAATGCAGGAGTATAGCAAATCAGCATGCCCCTTCTACTACCTACCTTTCTTTGCCCTAATTTTTTCGAATATTTCTCAGAATTATAACCATTACTACTATTATTATCACCATTGTTGTTGTTGTTGTTGCCAACATGCCAAAACTTTGAATACTGTAAATTCTGTCCCCTCGACTCCGAGAAACCATTGAGGGCAAACGACGGCAAGTTGATGAGCGACAATGCGTTTAGGAATAGAGAAGGAGGTGGCGAGAATGCAACTTTCAGTATTATGGACTCCATTTGTGTTAAGTCTCTACTGTCTTCTCTCTCTTCCAAAGAAAAACAATAAATAAATAGCAAATTTTTTTTTCCCCTCTTTTTGAGGTTATAAATAGCTTAAACTTGTAACAAAAGGAAAGGATTTTTTGAAACCCCAAAATATTTCTGGTGGAGTGCAGATTTGTGGACGCTAACGGTACACGTTCGGAGATAGTAATGGAGACTTATGCTCCTTGGGTTTTTTTTTTTTTTTTTTTTTTTTGGGGGGGTTTTTTTTTTTTTTTTTTTTTTTTTGGCGTGTGTTTTATTTTTATTTGTAGCCATGAGACGATAATATTCATCCTTTAAACTCTACTTTGACAAATTGCTTTTGAACTTTTAATTATAGCAATTAAGCCCTTAAACTTGTTAAGCGTGGGCAATTTGTTCTAATTTAACCGACTTTGTTCTATTACCACTTTAAACGATGATTAATTTAGACCACGTTACAACAGTTTGACAAATTTAAGGAGTTAATTAAAGAATTTAAAAGCTTACGTACGGCGCAATTTTTCAAAGTCCCAAAAGTTTAGGAGGGTAAAAAATGACAATAATCGTATATAGTTTTAAATTAGAATCATTGTTACTTTCACTTATGCACCAAACTATGTCGATCATCACATCTATTTCTCCTAGACTTTACAAATTGTCTCATTTTTCATCTTCTGTTTTCATCTTCTATATTAAAATTTTAGGAAATATTTCACAAATTTCCTAGGAAGTTTGACCATAATTTTCAAGCTGTCTCAAAACCATCCGATATTCTATTGGTTTTTCATTGTTTAACGAGCAATTCATCTCAGTTGAATCCAAAGAAAAAGAGCTAGGCCTAGTAATGAAGCAAATCGAAGATGGACTCTTTACATAAACGCTATAAATTCTTGGTTTGGACTAACTTATGCCATAATATATATATATATATATATGTTTGTAGTGGTTGGCCTTCTAGAAGCTTTATAATTATATATATATAGGTATATTTTAAATACCAAGTATACCTTTAAGATACTAACAGATTATCGTTGTGATACTAGCCGGTATCCACATATAATCTGATGGTATGCATTTGATGACATCAAAAATTAAGGTCTCGTACATTTTATCGATTCGAGTTTTCAGTTCTAGATTTTTACAGTAAAAAGCTCTCAAAAAATTTCATATCTTTTTTTTTTTTTTGCTACAGTAAAAAGCTCTAAAAAAATGTCACATCTAAACTCGAATTCGCAAAGCGAACGAGGCCTAAGTTATTATACTGTTAGAATTTGACGTCCAAGATCCTATTGAATTTTCTTTATAAAATATTTGTCTAAATTTTTTAATTCTTTTCAAGTCGTGCTTACTGAAACAATGAGAGCTTGTCTTGGTATTTTACTAAAATGCCCTATTTAACAATATCACATGCCTTGCACTTGAATTAATTCTGTTAAAAATTTAACAGAAATGACCAAATTGTCACCTCTTAAAGAGGTTGGGGGTTGTTTTGTTAAAAAAAATATTAGAGACCAAACTGTCACCTATTAAAGAGGTTGAGAACCATTCGTGCTAATAACCCAATAATATATTTTTATTTTTTACGTTTTTCCGGATACGGAGATTTGTAGAGAAGGTCCAAACAACCTTCCTTTATTTCCTCTTGAGCTAAACAACAATCACCTTAGTGGAATTTAACATTCCAATGCTTCTTTGATGGTGTCAGTTTTATTATTCAACTGATTGGAGTTTTTTTCTTTATTCAGATAAGTCAATCTTTCTTACACTTTGTTTATATTGATTATGATTTATGTTTTTTGTTCCTTTATTTATAATTCTCAATTTTCCACATTCAGCTTGATGCCTCTAACAATTTTTTAATCTTTAATCTTAATCATGTCTTATTTCTTTTTTCAAACAGTTAAAAAAACTTTTGTGTTGTGGTTTTTAACATCACATAATTTATTCTTACTCATTATTTAAATAAAAAAAGACATTAATAATTAAAGCCCCATTTATTTCGTTGATTCGAGTTTAGAATTCGAGTTTTTCTACAGTAAAAAGTTCTCACAAACAATCACATCTAACTTTTTTGCTACAGTGAAAAGCTCTCACATAAAGTCACATCTCAACTCGAATTAAAAACTCAAATTAACGAACTAAACGGGCCCTAAATTTCTTTCAACCATGGATTGTATCTATTTTTAGATACTTTCCGTCTACTTAAAAAAAGTTGTGGTCCTACATTAAAGCTCAAGTTAAATATTCGTGTAACAATCGGGGAACTTTCTTTTTTTCTTTTTTTTTTTGGCTGAATACTCGGAGAACTTTCTTGGAGTTATTTCTTTCTCAAAAAATAGAGTATGGCCTTCTCCCAAAAACGTCAAACAATATTAATAGTTTGACTTAGTGAGATAAGAGTGTTATCCTATGTTTGCTTCTATAGGGTTTTTTTCTTGCTCCCGCAAATTTGTTGGCTGGTGTCGTGTTAGCTTAATTTGTTAGGATTTTTTTTTTGACAGAGCCTCTCTATCAGTATAATTAGTTTCTGACTGTTAAATTTAATTAAAATAATATCATATTAAAAAAATATGTAAAATAAATAGTTTTTTTTTATATAAATATGACAGCTAATACCTTTCGCTCAATGAGAAAATGAGTTAGATTCTACAGGATCAAACTTATGGCACTTAAGGAATGATGGAAATGAAGAAAATCAAAAAAGAAAAGAGAGGGAAAAGTAATAAAAAAAAATAAGTAAAGTAAATAAAGAAATAGAAGAGCACAGATTCCAAATGAATGAAAAAGTGACTGAATTGGTCTTAATTACTCTTCGGAACGGAGTGGAAGAAGGGAAGAGGTTCTCGAACGAAGAAAAGGATCCAATGACTTCAAAAGAATTGAACGAGGAGCCGAGTAACAAATTAATGATAATTCGTTTTCTTTGATTTTTACCGGAGAAACTCCCAACTTGTTAAGAAAGATAAAAAAAAAAAAAATTTATATGGTATCTCGGAACTTTCTTGGAGCCATTTTTTTCTCAAAAAATAGAGCATGGCTTTGTATAAAAAAAGTCAAACAATATTGGTAGTTTGACTTAGTGAGATGAGAGTGCTATCCTATGTTGGCTTATAGAGATTTTACTTTATTTTTTTTGCTAAAAAAAGCAATAGGCAAAAAAAAAATAGTGGATTCAAAAAATAAAATTTAATAAGTGACTTAAAAATACAAAATAAAAATAAGAAAAAAATAATTGAAATGTGCGTTTCAATCACAACACGTGTCTAGTTAAATATGTCTGCATGGGAAAAATAAGTCTTTTAAAGAAGGACACTGTTGAAAAATTAACTACCAAAGAATTTTTAAGGGGAGAAAAATAAGGCATGACAAAAAGAAAAGAGGAAATGTACAGAAGAAGAAGAAATAGAAGGCCAATAGGTGGTTTCCTTAGAAATTAAGTATAAAAGGGACCATGACCAAAAAAGAAAAAAAGACCCCTTAAATAAGGATATATTCAAAGGAATTATTTAAAAAAAAGGTGAGAAAAAAAGGTATATGAAAGAAGGATATTGTAAAAAAATAAACTGTGAAAAATATATGAACGAAAAAATAAAAAAGGCAATAAGTGAAAAAAAGGAGAAGAAAAAATAAAAAAGGAAAAAGTTAAAAAGTTAAAAAGTTAAAATGAAGAAGAAGAAGGAGAAGAAAAAAATATGTGGCGCGTTTGGAACTCATTCTAAAATGATTTTATTTTTTGTATGAAAATGAAAGTGAAAACGTTTTCAATCTCATACAGAAATCATTTTTAAAAATACTTTTGGTAGTTTTATCAAGAGATTATTTTCAATATAAAAAAACTCATTAATGTTTCTCTTTCTCTCTCTGCTCGAGAGAGGAGAAAACGAAAATAAAAAAT